CAGGATTTTTTTCAATCTAAGGGTTAACTTTACCTAAGATATAAGGACATTTTGATCGAAGGATTAACTTCACTTAGGGTAAGTCCGTTTCGTGGAAAATGAGTGATTTGAAAAAAAATTTCCAAAAGATTATTGCTTCTATCGTTTAAAAAAATTAGTTAACAAAAAACGTTTTCATTATCAATAACAATCTATGCCTAACTATTTTATGAGCGATTTAAATTTTCTATAGAACCCTTGAACAAAGGCAACCTTGAAATTTCAACCCCATTCAACTGCTCGTTATCGCATTTTCTCTTTGGCCAGGTTCAATCTCTTCATTTATCAACAGTAGGCAATGCGTCTCCTTGCCCAATTTCAAGTTTTAATCCTCTTTATTTTCTCCTTTCAATTTGCAGTTGATATCTGATTTTTTTTCCTTATCAGTGACCACACCAGTACATAATGTGATAATCCATCTCCTTTTCTTCTTGAATGCATCTATGAAAATAGCAGTTTCTCCAAACTGATACGAGAGAGAGAGAGAGAGAATTATCCATTTAATGTCGCGAGTCATGATAGCTTGAGAAAGGTTGTTCTCAACATTATGTGATTATTCATGACATTGGAGAAAATTTTGTCTCGACTCGAATTGGTGCAATCGCAATTGCGGGTGATAGAAAGTCGAATCCAAAAGCTTAAATTGATAGATGGAAGGAGATTACATGAATATATAGAGAATTTATGACCTATTGTCAAGTGATGTGGAATAATACTTCAACACCCCCTATCACGTAGGGATTGGATTACAAGTGGCCTGTGGAATTTTGACCACGGCACGTGGATTTTAACGCGGGGGGGGTGGAAACACATTTGCAGAAGTGATATCATTGGCTCTAATATCGTGATAGAAAATCTAACCTAAAAGCTTAAGTTAATAAGTGAAGAGTGACTACATGAATATATAGAGCATTTAGAAGCCATTATTGAGCGATGTGGGACAATACTTCAATAGCGGGTTCATGTGGGATCCACAAGTGAGGCTCAAATAATCAACTATAATCATGGACTCGATTCATGTAGACCTGATTGCAGGCAACTAAACATGGGCGCCTAAATAGAGAGAGCCATTGAGATATAGATATCTTCATCGACGTCTATAAATTGGTCATACATTGCAAATCTCAGTAAACTTATGTAATATCCCGAAACAGAAACAGAACAATCATTTATATTTTGAACAGACCGACTTGAAAATATGGATTTTTATCGAATTTGCTCAAGGAAGTCACACGAATAGAAAAATGCCATTAGATAACCATAGAATAAAACTATTGATGCTGGAACTAATCTTTTATTTTTGCTGTCATACTTTAATTCTCAACTCACTTTCAGACATTTGTCTTGCCTTTTTGCAGAGCGTGGGAGTCAAAACCCACACCTAAAACTAAACATCTCTATCCCTAGCCTCCCGGAGAAGGCGGGGAATCAACCTCCCCACCTCCCCCTTGGCAAGTAGGAAGGGTGGCCACTGTGGCAAACCTAAGGAGTTGTTGAAATTAAGTTTGATTCCTAGCTTTTAGTGGAGATCGATATCCATTTTTGTATGGAATTAAGTGGCAATAGGATCGTTATATTGGAGAATATAAGGATAGAATATGGCTCCTGATAAAAGGTCATTGGAATGATGGATCACTTTCGACCAAAAAAAAAAAATGCTGGGTCACAATATTCTCGCGATTCTTTTGATGGATATGATTATCGTGAAAATTTCAAAAAAGAATCACTGATGTAGGAGCATGTTCTCATGAGAAGGACATGAAAAATGTCTGGTAGTGTTTTCCAAAACCCTGATTAGATTATTTTTTTCTCAACTCAGGCGCTAATTAATAGTTACAATGATTCAATATCACCTACATATGACTCTAAAATAATCCCAAAAAAAAAAAAAAACGAAAACGAAAAATTAAATAGCAGAACGGATATCTGAAAACTCACTCTCCCCCTGATCCTTTCTCTGTCCAAGGTCCAACCATGAGCCAGTCCCAACCACGCCTTCTCCGACCCTCGCCCATGTCGCGTCCACAACCTGTCTCGTTTGTGAGCCTGTCGCGCACCATCATGGGCAAATACCCCTTACTAAGCCATCTATCTCTCTCTCTACTTGAACTCTGTTGAGATAAACTGTACAACCTAAAGGGTAGTAAATAAGTTAGATTAAAAATTTTGAAAATTTCCGCGAAATATAACAAGTTAAGCTTTCATAAAAGCATAAATAGATTGATAATATGAAATACATGTGCTTGTTGACATCTATTTTATAGTCAACCATTCATTAAAGATAAAAACTTGAGATTTGAGTTCTTGATCACAATGGGACCCATTTCTCAACCAAAAAGAGTTATTTAATACTTTTTATTGCATAAGCACTTCGGATGCGTTTGGTTCAGCATTTGCAAAGGGCTTTGGGTCCCTAAAATGCCTTGGGCAAATGCAAATGATGTTTGACAATTTTTTGAATAACTTTGGGAAATGCAATTGCATTTCCAAGGCCTTTGGCCCAAGGAAAGTCTGGAGGTATTTTGGAATGCTGCATTTCCGAAATGCAAATAGACTTTTTTTCTTTTTAACTTTGCTCTTGCTCAACATTCATAATTCTAGAAATCTCCTCTAAAACCCTAACTTTACCTTAGCCACTGACAAGCGGCCGGTGAGCCATCGCCACCCTCTCTTGAGATCACCCAACCTCAGGGGCGGCGGCCTAAGGTTGGGTGACCTCAAGCGAGGCGGCCTGAGGTAGGTAGATGCCCCAGCGATCGTCGATTGGGGTCGCGCGACTGAAGCAACGTTGCTTAGGTGACGTGACATTAGGCAAGGCTAATTGGCGGCTAGATCTAGCCACCGGCGATAAATAAGTTAGATTAAGAATTTTGAAAATTTTTCACGGAATATAACAAGTTAAGCTTTGATAAAAGTAGAAACAAATTGATAATATGAAATACGTGTGCTTGTTGACGTCTATCTTTTAGCCGACAATTCGTAAGGGAAAAAATTTGAGATTTGAGTTCCTGATCTTGATGAGACTCATTTCTCAACAAAAAAGAGCCATTTAACACTTTTTATTGTATAAGCACATTGGGTGCGTTTGGTTTAGCATTTGCAAGGGGCTCTGGGGCCCTAAAATGCCTCGGGCAAATGTAAATGGCGTTTGGCAAATTTTTGAAGAACTTTGGGGAGATGCAATTAATTTCCAAAGGCCTCTAACCTAAGGCAAGTCTAGAGGTACTTTGGAATACTGCATTTCTAAAATGCAAATAGACCTTTTTTTCTTCTAACTTTGCCCTTGCTCAACATTCATAAGTCTAGAAATGTCCTCAAAAACCCTAACTTTACCTCAGCCACCACCACCCTCGCCTGAGGTCACCCATTCTCAGGGGAGGCGGCCTGAGGTGGCTAGGCCCCTAGGTGGCCGTCGCTTGGGGTCGCTTGAAGCAACATTGCTTGGGTTGCGTGACCTCAGGCAAGGCTAACTGGCAGCTAGATTTAGCCATCAGCGATTGGTCGAAACGTCTGGTGGCTGAGTTCCGCAAGCAAATAATTTGATACTTTTTAGAAAAAAATTAGCAAAAGTCCTTTATAAAGTGTATTTTTTACCAAAATGCATTTAAGTCAAAGTTATTTTTCAGTGTGTTTTAAAATACACTTTACCAAACACTACTTACATTTCGGAAAACCCCTTTAGCCCAAAGCCTTTTGTATTTTCCCAAAGATATTCCCCCAAAGCCGAACCAAACGCACCTTCATTTATATGTTATTTACAGTTTGATTACAATCTGTCAAAAATTGACTTAATAGTTGACTTTCATATCAAACTTTTACTGAAAAGTCAACTCTTAGTCAAAATTTGGCATTTTGCATAGAAAGCCATAGGATAATGTCAATTTCATTTTTCCACTTTCAATTTTCGAAAAAATCAAAGCTTGACTCACCAATTGACTTTTAAACTTTTAAAGCTAAATCACCGGAAAAGTCAATGTTTGGTCAAAATTTCATGATAGCTTTGTTTTCTTAGTTTGGTTTCAATTCCAATTACCAATGTTTGTTTTAAAAAAACGATTATAAGTCAACATTTTCAACCAAATTGAAGACTGGCTTCTAATAAAAAATTCCAAAATTCATTCTTTTCTATTCATTTTTAAAATTTTAATCTTTCATAAAATTTGATTTAGGGACTTTGGGTAATCCAAATTTCAAGCCAATTTTGGGAATTAAGCACAAGAACCATTTCAACTGAACCAATCCCAAATTTGGCTAAATTGAATCAATTGCGATATTTTGTCCAAACAAAAAAATCAATTGCGATAGAATTGGCTATGTCCATGGCAAATTTTGAAGAGATTAATGCAATTGGGGTCTTGAAAGGCATTTTGCCCACAATAAGTCAAACCAATTCATGTCGGGCCAACTCAATTTAAACCCAAACTTATTCAAACAAATTGAGAGAAATTCCAAGTCCAACTATGAAATTGAGGGAAAAATTGAACAATTGAAATATGCCAAATTGACCCGGTAAAAAGAACCAAATTCAATTTACATTCATTTGTATCCAATTAGATCGAAATCACAAAACCGGTCCAACTGGCCGGTTCATTGGACCACACGACCAAGCCACCATGGCTAGCCAATTCGCTCTCTCCTTTTCCAAAAAATTACCAAAATGCCCATTAGAAATTAACAAAATGCCCTTAACATCAAGTCATCAATCCATGTGAACTTAAATCCTAGCCATCCCTTTACCAATAGATCTTGGTCATCTATGGTGACATGTCACCTATTCTAGTGATGTCAATTCAGTCGATGAGGGTAAAACTTAGCCATTAAGGAACCAAGGGCCAATATCTAAACCTCCAAAGCCATATAAGCCAATTTCCCTCCAAAACTCGTCAAAGAGATATTTTCTCTCTTCAACTATCTCACCTCTCTCTCTCTCTCTCTCTCTCTCTCTCTCTCTCTCTCTCTCTCAGAGTTGGAAATTCTTCCACCATTTCCAACCAATCACCGACCTCATTTCGTTGAACACGCAGCTCACCGGTCTTCCTCAAGGTGTCTTCAACATCCTAGTGATCAGCGTTCCCCGAGGTGTTCGCTGGAAGACCAGGAAATCTACCAATCTTCTCTCCATTGCGATTACCAAGCTCCACGCCGATATCCTGTGTCGCTAGTCCTGACACCATTTTCAGCCATCCGTCAGCATATCTTTTGATGGCCAATCGTTGCGACTCCATTCCCCAATGTGTCCTTGACTTTTTCCTGGCCAGCACTCATCGGACTCATGATCGATCGTCCTCAATTACCTTTTGATTGTTCATTTGGAGTTTATTATTTTGAATACCTTATTGATTTTGTTCGCTGGTTCCAGCTGATTGCCGAGCTTCCTTAGCCATCTAATCCTTGTGATTAGATTCTTCGTGGTATCCTCAAAGTCATCACAGTGATTGATTACCTAAATCCTCGCCCGAGGTCCCTTAGAGAAGCCGGATTGCTCGTTGGAGTTCCTATACTCAAGGTAAGTTAATAAACTAACATAAACTTTATCCGAGCATGCTTAGGACCTTGATGTCAATTTCAATGATTAATTGTAATTAATAACTTGCATGTTTAGGATGTTTAGCCTTAGGAATCTAGCTTAGTGTAATTGATTTCACGAGTTTGCTTGTTAAATTTCTGAATATTTACATGCTGGCTGAGTGATGTTCATGATGATTGAGGCTTAATTTTGATGTCAATTAGCTAATAGATGAACATAGGTTGGATGTATATTGATTAGGTCGTGTTTGATGTTGATTTGAGCATGATTTGATGCACAAAAACATGTTTAGGATCAACTATAATGGAAAATGTTTGAATCTTCTTGAACAAGGTTGAATGTGACATAAATGTGCTGAAATGTGGTTATTAGATGCATAAGTTTGCTTGATTTGAAATTTGGAAGTGTTAGTGTAAATCTGAAAATTCGGAGCTCCAGTGACCTTTACATGTTATCCGATTTTTAGGAATTTTTTGAGTCAGAATATTTAAAATCACCGTGAGATATCACTATAACTATAGATCGAGATCTTTACAGTGATATAATTTTTGTAAAAATCCGATGTTGTTTCATCAGAAATCCTACATGCGCAAAGTAGCGAAAACTTTTTGCTCTTCCAGTATAAATTGATGTCAGATTTTCTCCAACTTTGATTTGTAAATTTAACATAGTTTGAGGTCTTGTATGTGAAAGTTCAAAACTGGAAAGTTGTTCATTGCGGTCTAAAACAGTAGACTAGAGAGTTTAAAGACTTGTTAGTAAATTTTAGGGGTCAATTTGGCCATAAACTGGATAAGGTTAGTTCTGGCCTAAAAAACTGTTTTCAATTAAGTCTCTGGGAAAACTTGCGATTTTAGCCTAGTTGGAGACCTTTTTTTGCAAAAATTCAAAAGATGAAAGTTGTTAGCTATGTATTTAATTGACCGTCTATTAAATTTGGCAGGATTTCAAATTTTCTAGATATTTTTCCTGCATTTTCGAAGTTCCGGGTTGGAACCTAGTCAATTTTTGTACAATGTGTGAATTGAGTCAATGTCAGGTCAATCAAGTCCAAGCCAAATCAAGTGGTCTTAATGAACTTTGAAGTATACATCATAAGCTTTCCAATGGTACCTGAATCACTTAATGGATAGGTCATTAGGGTACTTGATTGAGCGTAAACAAAATTGTCTAAAATCTGCTGCTAATTGAATAAGTGGTCTGATTTGGATCACCCATTGATTGGTGATTGTTCAAGGCCATTTGGCCTAAATTATTGAAGCAACAAATCAAAAAGCAAAAAATCAGAATGTTTGCAGTGCAGAATCTTCTACAAATCAGCACAAATATAACATATCAAGGAGAGTATCCACGAGTTGATCATTTAGAAATCTTTTCTGATTTGTCTTTTATTCAATTTCCTTGTAAATCAAATTGTATATTTTATCTTTAACTTCTACCGTAATTATAGGTGATGGTATCTCTATTTATACTGTACAATATATAAATGAAAAGCAACACTTCATCGACTCAATTCTCTATTTTATTTATGGTATCAAAGCCATGCAAGGGCAGACTCCTCTTTTCTTGTTAAAAAAAAATCGATACAATCATGTGAAACTTGAGATTTCCATTTCCTTCAAACATCAATGTGGCAAATTTTGTTACATTGAAGCTCAACGAAAACAACATTTTACTTTGGGAGACACAGGTATTGTCTCTGATTGAAAGTTAGGACCTACTTGGTTTTCTTACTAGAGAGATAGTTGGACCACAACAGACTCGAACATCGGAGAATTCAACCGAAGTCAATAATCCAGAATATACGTCATGGGTGTGTAGTGACCGCCTCGTAAAGTCTTGGATCGTGGGCACACTCTCAAAAGAGGTTCTCGGACATGCTATTGGACTTCAAACAGCAGCTGAAGTGTGAAAGGCTCTCACCGATCATTTCAAGCAAAGCTCGGTGACTTGAGAACTTGATCTGCTTGGACAACTTCAACACAATAGGAAAGAAAATAAGCCTTTATCTGTCTATCTTCGTGACTTTAAATCTATTTACTATCAATTGCATTCCATTGGTAAACCTGTGTCGGATGCTAATAAATTCTTCAGATTACTTGAAGGACTTGATGATAGCTATGAGTCATTCAAAATGACCATGTTCAGGCCTCCTCTTCTATCTCATGCTGAAGTGGTTGCACAACTTCAAAGTTATGAGTTACGAAACAAGCGCACTTCAACCATGCTCCCAAACAGTTCAATGGCGTTTATCTCGCAGCGACATAATGGTGGCTACAAAAACACCCCAAAGGAAGGGGTACAGGACCCACATTTAATTCTAGGGGTCGTGGCTTTTCTCAGACAAACCAAAATGGTCGGCAATTTTCAGGAAACTACTATACAACTCAGCAAACCAAACCGTTGGTGTATCGTCAAACTCAAACTTCGAAGTGCCATCTCTCATCTGTCATATTTGTAAGAAGAAGGGGCATGATGCATTGAATTACTGGTATCGTTTCGATAACAATTATCAGAGTATTAATATACCCCATGGCTTGGCTACACTTCATATCTCAAATTCACAAGATGAAGAATGGCATCCGAACACCGGTGCTAATACTTTTATGACTGATAATCCAGGTAATCTTGTGAACGTAGTTCCTTTCCATGACCATGATAATGAGATAGTTGGGAATGGTACATCACTGTCGATTACTCATGTTGGGACTGGTCAATTTGGCAATAAGATTGGTTAGTTTTCTCTTAATAATGTTTTGGTCATTCCACAAATTAAGAAAAATCTATTATCCGTCTCTGAATTGACGAGAGATTATTCTTGCTATGTTGAGTTTGATGCCTCTGGTCTTTCTATCAAGGACTCCAAGACACACCGGGTATTGCTGATGGGAACTAATCATCAAGGATTATAAACCAATAAGGACCCACATTCCATGGCATTCTTTTCTCAGAGAAACAATGTTGCTGATTAACTTATGTGGCATCATAGATTAGGCCATCCAAATAGTTGTATTTTATAGCTTTTGCGGTCTGATGATTTTGATTTTAGTAAATAAATCCACTGGCACTTTATGTACAAGTTGTCAGATTAGTAAAAGTTCAAGATTGCCATTTTCTTTATCTGATTTTCGATGTTCCCATCTATTGGAGAAAATACATTGTGATCTTTGGGGATCGAGCCCAAATCCTTCTATGCAAAATTTCGATATTATGTGGTATTTATTAATGATTTCTCCCGATACTTTTGGTTGTATCCGTTGAAGCGAAAGTCAGATTTCTATGAGATTTTCCTATCTTTTCAGAAATTAGTTGAAAATCAGCTTGATAAGAAAATTGAAGTTTTTCATTCTGATGGAGGAGGTGAATTCATAAGCAATAATTTTCTCACTCATCTTCGTGAATGCGGCATACAACAACAAATCTCATGTCCAGGTACACCAGAGCAAAACAGTGTTCCTGAGAGGAAACATCGACACATTGTTGAACTCGGGCTTGCTACATTATTTGAGGCATCTATGCCACTCAACTATTGGGCAGAAGCGTTTACAACGACGAATTATTTGATAAATCGGCTTCCTTCAACTACTTTAGGCAATCGAAGTCCATACTCGGTCTTATTCAAGGAGGACCCTGATTACTCATTACTTCGAGTGTTTGGCTCTTGTTGCTATCCATATTTACACAACTACACGATGAACAAATTTGACAAGCGCTCTTCGCCATGTATATTTTTGGGATACAGTGAAAAGCACAAAGGATATCGTTGTCTTCATCAATCTACTGGTCGTGTTTATGTATCTTGACATGTTTTTTATGAGCATTTTTTTTCCTTTTGCCTCTTCTTCTCAAGCGACTGCTATGATTGAGGGGGAGTTGTTGCAATGGAATTCAATTTTAAGCTCATCACAAACAAAAGCTTATGGTGATCATTTGACTATGGCCAAACCTAGTCCATAAGTTGATCAAAATGGTTGTTCACTAACAGATCTTGATTCTGCAAGCGAATGTGCACGTTTGTTTGCTGAGATAGAACCGGACTCAAATGCTTCATCTGCTACTCTCTCTAATCACGTGGCACAATCAGTAGAGAGTGGATCTTTACTTTAGTCTCAATCCGAAGCTTCCACATCCTCAATGCATCCCATGGTTACATGTTCAAAGGTCGGGATCTCCAAGCCAAACACTAATTATGTCAATATAGCAATATCATCCATCCCTCTCGAACTACGCACTGTCCATTCAGCTTTAAAGCACTATGGTTGGAAAGCTGCTGTGTTTGAGGAGTTGGATGTAGACATGGCCACGGGTCGGTTTCGGCTCGGAATCGGCCCGGTCAAACCCGAGCTCGGCCCGTTGACCGGGCCCGCGGTTCGGAACCGGAATAGGCCCGCGGCCTATGGGCCCGGTTCCGGTTCCGGTTCCAAATTAGTTTTTTCAAAAAAATAATAATGAAATTTTTTTAAAAAAATAATTTGAACTCTAATTGCCATGTATTGTAAGTGCATCGATCTCTAATTACAATGCTTGGCTTGGGTGTATTGAACTCTAATTACAAGGCTTAGCTTGGGTTTTTTACACAATGATTCTAATACCTCTTCGTTCCCATTTGATGTGGGACTCTCGGCTTGCCTTGAACACCTTCAATGTGAGACTCTTGGCTTGTCTTCATGCAAATGCCAAGAGTCCCACATCGAATGGGAATGAAGAGACCATCAAAGGGGCTGTGTATAAAACCCAAGCCAAGCCATGAGTATGTCAAGTTGTATGCCTTTTGTGGCTATGATCCTTTGCTAGTTAAGAGGAAAGGGTTCTATTGGATCGCCTAGAACCGGACTGGACCAATGATCCGGTTCCCGGTTCTATGATTTGCCGGTCCAGTTCCTAGTTCTAAAATTAAGGGACCGGTCTTACCGGTTCGGTTTTCGGTTCCGAGCGGAACCGGATCGAACCGGGAACCGATCACCCCTACAATTTTCATTTTGATTACAATTTATATTGAATAATTCATTATTTCATAATTGTATAATTCATTATTTTTTTATTTTTAAATTACGAACCGGAACCGGCTGGTTCCGAACCGTGGCCATGTCTAGTTGGATGCTCTTGCAATCATTAAAACATGGGAACTAGTTCCCCGTCATCCCTTGATGAATGTGGTTGGATGTAAATGGGTATACAAGACAAAGCTACATGCCAATGGTTCACTTGACCGATTGAAAGCCCAACTTGTTGCAAAAGGCTTTCATCAAGAGGAGGGCGTTGACTTCCTAGAAACTTTTAGTCCGGTAGTCAAACAAGCCACAATTCACATGTCCTATCCGTTACTACTGTTCAGAATTGGGAAATTCACCAATTAGATGTCAAGAACGCCTTCCTACATGGCGATCTCGATGTTCCTATCTAATGGAACAACCATCGGGTTTCCGCGATTGATTTCATCCTGACCATGTTTGCTTACTTCGGCGTGCGCTATATGGCCTCAAACAAGCTCCCAAGGCATGGTTCGACAAGTTAAGTGATTTTCTTTTCGAATATGGATTCTTCTGCAGCACAGCTGATCCATCACTATTTATTTATCATCATCATGGTTATATTATTACTCTATTGCTCTATGAGGATGATATAGTCCTCACTTGTGATTCTCTAAAATTACTATATCATCTTATGCAAGAACTTGGTCAAGTGTTTTCCATGAAAGACCTTGGCGTTCTTCATTATTTCTTAGGCATTGATGTCAATCGCTCCACTGATGGACTCTTACTCTCACAACAAAACTATGCCTTGGATCTTTTGAATCGAGCATCAATGGCGCAATGTAAGCTGATTGCTACTCCAATAGCTACTAAGCAACCACCACTCAAACATGGTGATAAGCCCTATGCTGATCCATCCCATTTTTGAAGTACTGTAGGCACTCTTCAGTACTTTACCCTCACTCGTCTAGATCTCTTGCTTGCGGTCAACATAGTTTGCCAATATATGCATGCCCCAACTGTTGCTCACTATCAGATGGTAAAACATATTCTGCGATATGTTCGCGGTACTTTACACCTTGGGCTTTGCATTTTGTCTCGTAGTTCTCTTCAATTATTTAGCTTTGCCGATGCAGATTGGGCAGGGTGCAAACTCACCCGACGTTCTACCACTGGTTATTGTACTTTTCTCGGCTCAAATTGTATTTCATGGTGTGCCACTCCACAACTTACTGTGGCCCACTCCACAACTGAAGCTGAATATCAAGCTCTTGCTTCTGCAACTGCTAAACTCACTTGGATTTCATACATACTACGTGACATTGGGATTTACCAACATTAAACTTCGATACTTTTCTCGGACAATATGTCAACATTACATCTCACAACTAATCCAGTTTTTCATGCTCAAACAAAGCACATTGAGATTGATTATCATTTTGTTCAAGAAAAGGTTGCTCTTGGTTCTATCGTAACTCGTTATGTTCGGTCTTCCTCACAAATTGCTGATATTTTTACCAAACCATTGACTTGAGATATGTTTGTTGGTTTAAGAATCATACTTGGTCTCTGGTCCTCCTCATTGATCGGTTTGAAGGGGAGTATTGAAGCAACAAATCAAAAAGTAAAAAATCAGAATGTTTACAGTGTAGAATCTTCTACAAATCAAAACGAAGATAACATATCAAGGAGAGTATCCACGAGTTGATCATTTAAAAATCTTTTCTGATTTGTCTTTTATTCAATTTCCTTGTAAATCAAATTGCATCTTTTATCTTTAACTTCTACCCTAATTATAGGTGATGATATCTCTATTTATACTATATAACATATCAATGAAAAGCAACACTTCATCGACTCAATTCTCTATTTTCTTTATAAATGCATGCTTAGTTATGCTTGACATGTGATTTTTAGATGAATGGATTAGACTCGCGATGCATGATGACCAATGGATAGATTAGCAAGATGATTAGAAGTAATCAAGGATTAATGATGTTTGCCCGTTGCTATGTGAACAAAAGTGGGGGCTACTTATCATTAGTCTTATTCAATGAAACCCTAGTGGATTAGAAGGGGGTTTGGGATAATCAAATTCCATGATTAATTTCAAAGCTGATCCTAAGGCAAATTGAATGTTGATTTGACGTGAGAATTGCTAATTGCTTGCATTGCATGAGTGCCTATTGTGAATGATTGGATGATAAAAACGACACCCACGAGGCGGTGGCTAATGGCGGCAATTGGAATTGCGGTGGCCAAGTGGAGCTGGTAGTGGTGGTAGACTGATGTTCATGCCGGTCTTAATATTTTGTAAAAGTTTAGACTAGTGTAGTCTTAATTAGGCTAGTTTAGATATTTATAGGTTTTTTTTTTTTTTGGTAACCCAGGGAACCCCCGCACGGCCGACAGCCGGGGAGTAAACCCTGGGGGCGACACGTGCTAGCCACCACACACGTGCCACCGGTTAAGTCACCCTGCGGCGCCCGGGATTCGAACACTCAACCTTTTGCGAGAGGAAGAGTGCGCGCTCTAGCAGCGCCACCCAGGCGGGTGGTTTTATAGGTTAATTAGCGTAGGCTATAGC